CGGTACCCCAGACTGGGCAAAGGGGGGTAAGGAAGGACTGTGTGTGTTTGTGGGTGTTTTAAGGGACTTTGGGATTTTGATGAAGATATTAGGTCACTACTTTAAGTCTGTACAGCCTTAAATAAACATTTCCTTTCCTTTTCATGAATCTCTGGCACTGAGAGATGTCTTTCCTATAAGGCGGTGGACATAACGAACCTGGGGGTTCCTGTCGGTAATAGCATATTGCCTTTGGCACCCCCCTTGGCCCCTTGTGTTCTGTAACATAAGGAAATCTGTTTTCTCTTAAATTACCTATGACTTAGAACAGTTCGGTAAATTATACCTTTGTAAGCGACAGTCAAACTCTTACATTTTTCTCCCTACCCTAATGCCTCTGGAAGTTTGGAGACTCTGACTGAGCGAATGTCATTATTTTCATGGCAATATGGTTGTCTGCATAAATTCTATATAAATCTGAATCTATTCTCTTTATAAAGGGCACAAGTGGAAACTCCTGATGAGGTTTTGACTGGAATGCCATGTTTAAAAGAGACAAACACAGCCCCGGCTGGTGTGGCTCAGTGGATTGGGCGCCGACCTGCAAACGGAAAGGTCGCCGGTTCAATTCCCAGTCGGGGCGTGTGCCTGGGTTGCGGGCCAGGCCCCCCAGTTGGGGACATGCAACCCATAGATACTTCTCTTTCTTTTCTTCCTCCTTCCCCTCTCTAAAAATAAATAAAAATTTAAAAACAAAAGAGATCAATAGACTCCAGATCTCACCAGAAAGCTCTGCAGCAGGGGTGTCCAACCCATGGCCCGCGGGCCGCATGAAGCCCAAGATGGCTGTGAATGCGGCCCAACACAAAACTGTACATTTACTTAGAACATTGGGTTTTTCTGTGATCACGTGTCACAATGCATTTACTGTGCGGCCCCCAGACGCTGGAAGGTCGGGCCCCGCTGCTCTAAGGAATCAAGATCGCCTTTGGAGGCTGATGAAAGCCACTCAGAAACAGGCAGGTGCCTCACTCACATGGTTCCCAGCGATCTTTCCAGGTGAGACACAAGGCTGGTTTCCTGGGAGATGGCAAAGGACGAGCCTCAAGACATTTTGACGATATAAGAGCAATCAATTTTTTTTTTTTTTTTAAAAGGACATTTGAAGAGTGTTGAGAACCTGGAGAATTCACCTAAATTTTTAGGGATTATGGGAAAATGCTGATGGCAACTGGTGGCTTGTCTTCTTAGCCCTGAGAGGCTAATTAAGCTTCAGTCTGGAGATTTCTTAGGAAAGTTCAGCAAAGCAGGTTTTAAAAGAGCCTATTTGATTCACTGTTGTTCTCGTTGTACTTGTGCAAACACCAGGCCGAATTTGTTAAAACTAGACTTGTACAAATGCATTAGTCCTTTTTTTAAAGCTATTTTTAAAAGATTTTATTTATTTTTAGAGAAGGAAGGGAGGGAGAAAGAGAGAGAGAAACATCAATGTGCGGTTGCTGGGGGCCGTGGCCTGCAACCCAGGCATGTGCCCTGACTGGGAATCGAACCTGTGATGCCTGGTTCACAGCCTGCACTCAATCCACTGAGCTATGCCAGCCAGGGCACAATGCGTTAGTCTTAACTTGGCTCTCTCTGGTAAAATGAGGGTGATTCTGGAGAGAAAGAATTATGCTATCACAGGAGCTATAATATTCCCTTGTAAATATTCGACTCCAGTGCTGTGCACTGTCTTTTGGGGTTGGGTTTGGTTTCCCACTTGTAAACTGGACTAATTCCGGAATTCTCCTAGTTTCCTCCAACAGCTGCCCACAGCTCTCCAAATGCGTGTCCAGTTTTCCTCCCGTCCCTCGTTTTGGAACGGCTGAGGGCGAGCACTGCGTCTTCCCGAGCCTGGCAGTCACAGGCTGCAGTGAGACGACCGCACGTGAACTCCGGAGAACTCGTCACGCGGCAGGCTGCCTGGCTGAAAGGCGTTCACCCTGAACCCCAGGGCTCAGTCAGAACACAACGTGGCCGCCGCCACCGAGATGAGGGGACTCCGGGGCTGGACGGAGTGGTGCCAGCGATGAGGACTGTCCAGTATAAAGCGGTCGGTGTTCTGAAAACACGAGCTCATTGGGCTGAGCCTCGAGCAAGCAGTCACTCCAAAGTGGAAATAAATGCAAAATCTTGCTCCAAAGTAAAAAGGCGTACACCCCCCTGACCACCTAAATCAGACCTGGGAAACCATGAAAGGTACCTGCCCTCGCTTATCTGGTCCCTTCCCCTTGTGGAGCCCCCGATGGCCCTTCCACTCCTGCTGTCACTGGGTCCTCGCCCCCTTGACCTTCTCGTAGAGTCTGCCCCTTCCAGACTGCGGCGGCTCCGCGTTAAGCTGGTGGTCATGCAAGGCTTCCCGCCCATTCCGGACAGGGAAGACCCGGGCCCTTACTGCTTTGTGGGTCAGACAGCGAGAGAATCTTCCTCCTCCCAAGTGTAGGGACAATGTTCTTGTTCGGCAGGAAGAAGTTACAGAAGAGACCTCTAGCCCTAATCCCTTTAGAATGAGGAGGGTGAAATCTCTTTGGTGGGGGGGGAGTATTGGGTGAGGGGGGGGCAGAATCAGGCATTATAGGGCCTTGGGCCAGGAATGGAAAAACACCAGATGGCCACGAGCCTAGTTAAGAGCAGGTGGCCAGAGAGTGTCAAAACCACTGTTCCGCATATGCAGCTGATTGTGGTTTGGCCTCTGCAACTTTCCTGGGGTGGTGGTGATGAGCAACCATCTTGCCCCACAGCACAAGCCCAGAGATAGTTGCCAAGCAACCCGAAAGGAGGAGGAAGTGACCGCACCCCGACAGGTTCAATTCTGCCCCCTGGACACTTCCCAAGCCCACCTGTTCCTGCAGGCCCACCTCTCCGTCCACACAGGCCCACTGTGTCCCCAGAGTCCAGAAGCGGCCAAGCAGGGCCAGGCCCTGACGCAGCCCAGCGGGTCCTTCCTCCGTGCCACTTCCCCTGGGCTTGCCCAGAACCTTCCTCGTTCAAGTCTGTCTGAAGATGTTTCTGGGGCTTCCTCTCAGTTTCTGTCTTGGGGAACCCAAGAACCCCAAAGCCATTCACGATAGGAGAACCTCCTTTCTGTGCTTCTATCCACTCACTTCTAAAACAGGAATGGCACCTACATGCGTTACCTACTCCACCAGGACCCAGAACCCCAGCGCCATAATGACGCAGAACTGCCCCAGGGAAGGCACAGGAGCTGGAGACGGGAGGCAGGTCCCTGGCGTCAGGGTGGTGCACGAGTCGCAGCGGGTCTGTGCATGAGGTCAGCTGAGGGTCCGGAGTTCCCTTGCTCCTCTCAGTCATGGGAATGGGGAGGCAGCAAGCTGGGCGGCCGCAGAGGTTTGCGGCGGTGCTAGCTCACAGAGGAACAAGCTCGAGCAAGTCGGGGGCTCCTTTGCCAAGGCTGGTGCTGCTGTTACTAAGCTCGTGCACTTGCCTGTCTCTTTGTTCAGCTTGATGACCTTGCACGAGTGACTTAACCCTCAACTCTCAGTTATCCGGCCTGTAAACTGGGGACAAGAGCACTCAGCTTGAAGTTACTGTGAGAATTAAGGGATGCAAGCCCCACAAATTGTCCGGCACGATTCCTGGCAGCCCCTCGCTGGGAACGGTGCAGGCGGCAGCACAGTGCTGGCCTCGGTGTGAGCTACTCATATTGCAGGTAGGTTGGGGCAGGTATTGCTGAAACCTGCCAGCCAAGATTCCAAGACAGCCCCGATTCCAAAAGCACTCCGCTGTTTTCTCTGAAGTCAGCAAGCACCGGTCGGTCTTGATGGGGAAAACGTGATTGCCCTGGACGGCGGCGCCCCAGCGGCTGCCTGTTTCTCCGGCAGCCCTGGGAGGGAGGCCGGGCTCTGGCCAGTGCGGCTCCCTGTGATCCCCAGATACGCAGCTGCAAGGCGGTGGGGAGGGGGAGGGGGGGCTCAGGCTCCCGGCAGGTGGGGGCCCTAGGCTGCACCCTTTCTCGGCCCCCATGGCTGCCGCAGCATGACCCCAGCTGGAAGGGGAAAGAGAAAGCGAAATCTTTTGAGCTCAGTGCTTCCCTGCCTGGGCAGCACGTTAGAATCACCGCAGGAAACTCAAAAATCTCCCTGCCTGGATGGCATTCCAGACCACTTCAATCAGCATTTTCTTCTCTTCTTCTTTTTCTTTTAAAAAACAGCTCGTTAACTGAATTCCAATGTACATAAAACTGCCCTGGACCAGGGTTTTCCAAACCTGTCAGATGACGATCATCACCTTGATTAGTTTAAAAAACAGTTGCTCAGGCTCCGGGATTAGCGCTGGTACCAGAACTCACTGCCTCTAAAGCACACCCTCCTGACAACACGTGGAGCACGTGAGCATCTCAGAAAACGGACGCTCTTCCCAGCGGTGGCACCTGTTCCTAGGAGGTGCGCGCACGCTTTCCGGCCGATGCCTGACGTCAGGCAGGCCGGAAGAGAAACTGGCCCCGGGCGGTCCCTGGGTGGCGCTTCCCAGCCTCCGGGTCCTCGACGTCGCCCACGATGCCCTTAACCACACGGGGCCAGAGTGAGCCGGCCTGGGTTAAGGCCCGAGATCCCGAAGTTCTGACAAGCTCCCGGGTGACCTGTGCCGGGCCTTGCACCTCGTTTGGGTGGCAAAGTCCTCAAGTACCTCCTTCCAAGGAGACTCCCCGTCCTCACGTCTCCCCGGGAAGGAGCGGCCGGCCTGAGGGCCAGGCGGGGGGCCAGGCGGGGGCTGCCCCAACCGCTGAGAAGCCAGCGACTGAGCCCGGTCTCCCCGGGACGCAGCTGGGTGCGGGGACAGCACGACCCTCACACCCCGAAGACCAGCCAAGCTCACTCACGGAGGGAAGGGCAGCCTCAGGAGGCTTTCGTGGCGGGGGGGGGGGGAACCAGCCCCATTCTCCCCACCATGTACCCCCTTTCCTTCTCTCTTCCTCCCCGGAACCTTTCCTGAGGACCCAGGAGGAGTTCGGGATGGAAGGACCCAGGTGAAAACAAGTGCGACGTGAAGTGAGGGCTGCTGACTGAGGCGCGCTGCTACGAGAGAGGAGCCAAAAGAGGGAAGGAGCTACTAGCTTCCTGCAGGAGCTGGGGAAGCACAGCTCATCTTCCCACGTGAGTGTTCCCGGCCAGGCCCGCCCGCTGGGGTGCAGGAGTGGGTTCGGACACCTCGAAACCGAGACCCTAGAACCTGGACTCAGAGTGGAGCTTCCTGCACTTGCGCCTCGAACCTCCAGCACCTCGAAGCGAGTGAGTCTGGGAGGGAGACTTTTAGGGGGTCGGCCCATCCAAAGCAGGGGCAGCTGTCATCTCATTCCCGGGGCCCGGGGCCCGCACCCCGTCTTCCTGTGTCAGACACAGCAGCTCACTTCCCCAGTCACAGACGCACGCGAGTCTTTGTCCTTTGTCACAGTGAGCTCTTAATCGGCTTGGCCCGTCGCACCACTGGATGCAAGGGCTACGGCCCCCAGACGCGGCAGGTCTCCAGCTGGGGCAGGAGTCTCAGCCAAGGCAGGGAGGGAGCAAGATCTGGAGCCTGCTCCTTCCCCCGGCCCCCTGGCGACCGGCTTTTTGGGACTGAGACTCTGTTGCTCCATCCCGGTTTCCTTTTATCCTCCTTTCTTCTCACAGGTAGGAAACCCCCGAGGGGAAGCGGAAGGGCCCGGAGGAAGCGGCCCGGGAGGGGACGGCAGGGAGATGGGGAGCGGAATCAGCGCGGAGGACAAGGAGCTGGCCAAGCGGTCCAAGGAGCTGGAGAGGAAGCTGCAGGAGGATGCCGACAAGGAAGCCAGGACCGTGAAGCTGCTGCTGCTGGGTGAGCGGGACAGGCAGAGGAACCCGGGAAGGGGCCGGTCCTGCTCCTTCCTGCCCGTCCCGGATGGAGCCGGGTTCCGCCCAACCTGTGGGGAGGCAGGAGGACCGGCCTCATTTCCTCTCCCCACCCAGTCTCACGCTGGGGGGCCAGGAGCTCTGGGGCTGAGCCCAGCCACCCCGGCCAGATGGGGAACGCCAAAGCTACACCGGCGCCGTTCTGCTAGCCCTCGAACCACGTGGGCCAGGATGGACCCGCCCAGCTCCAAGCGGAACCAGAGCCAACGCCTCATGGCTTGGCAGATGCCGGGAACCCTGGGCCCTCAGACAGGGACCCAATCTGCAGCCAGAGAACGGCGTCGGGGACGCAGAAGAGGAGGGTGGGCGCAGACGGTCTATCATATGGCTTAGGTCGTCGGAGTCACGTCCTCCCAGGGACAGGCCGCCTGCCCAGCACGCCGGTTCCTCCTGACGGGAGGGAGGGAGTCTGCCGCCAGAGCAGTGTGCTCTGGGCTCCCTGGCCAGTAGCTGCCTCTAGAGCCCCGCCAGATGGAGGGGTGGGGGGGGTGTCCTACACCTGATGAGCTCCTGAGCAGATCGGGGGGGGGGGCTGAGAAAAGCACAGCACCTCAGCGGCCAGTCAGAGAAACCGCGTGTTGGACACTCGAACCCCTAAGGCGTGCAGAGGGATCTGGGCGACAGCCTGGCTGGGCGGGGTGTGCCCGCCCAGAGCAGCCTGGGGACAGGCGCCAGCTGTCCTCCGCCCCTCCTGCCCCCCCCCCAGCCGGACGTGTGGCGTGGCCCTAGGGACACACTACAGGGGCACGCCTCTCTAAGCTGGACCCAGACTCCAGGGAGCCAGGAGGCCGCAGAGGGGGAGGAGACGGCTGGGCCACTAAGAGAGCTTTTAAGCCTAAGCTGCTTTCTCCCACATTCAGGATAAGCAGCTCAGAGGGCCCAGCTCGGGAGAAGGGGGGAGGGGTGTAGGCATGGGGGGGGGCGGTGCAGACCAGGGGAGAGGGCCCGAGGGTAGGTGGTGTTGATGGAGGGACAGCGGCATGTGGAGGAGGGTATTAGGGCATTTTAGCCAATAAAGGAGACAGAATGAGGATGGAAAACCAGTGGTTGGGTGGAGAGACCCAGCTCTCCCCACTGCTGCTCCACGTCCACGCTCCCGAGTGAACCGGGCCGAGGGGAGAAATGGGCTCGAGGAGCTGCCCCCCCCCCCCCCCCCGGTTCGCTCCGTGGTTCGCAGTGGGCTCTGCCCCCACCCACGGGGGCGTCTGGAGGCACCTCTGGCTGTCTCGACTGTCAGCGTGGAGCGTGGCCGACTTCTGGGGAGTGGGGCCCAGGAACAGAGCTCAGCGCCCTCCACTGGGCAGGATGGCCCCCCCCCCCCCCCCCGCAAAGGACCATCCAGCCCAAACTGCGGGCAGTGAGAGGGGAGAAACTCTGCTCCAAGTCCAGAGTGAAGGGCCTGGGCTCACGGCCCGCAGCAAGGCAGGGCCCCCTCACCCCCCCCCACCTCGGTCCCTCACGTGGTGCCAGCGAGGACGGGCCGCCTCCCCGAGGGGTGGGGGCCTCCCCGAGGGGTGGGGGCCTCCCCGAGGGGTGGGGAGAGTGGGTGCAAACCTGGAGCGTGAGCCTCTCTCCCTGCAGGGGCCGGGGAGTCGGGGAAGAGCACCATCGTCAAGCAGATGAAGTGAGTAGGCGCAAAGCCCCGCAGGAAGGGCCAGGGGGGCTGCAGGAGTCCCAGAGCCCCAGCTGGCGCGGGGGGGGGGGGGGGAGGGGGGCTCCTGGCTGGGGAACCCTGAGTAAAGGGTGGAAAGGACCCGGTGCCCCTCACGGGCACACCCCTCGCCCTCCGACTCTCCGCCTCAGGGCAGCAGCAGGAGCAGATCAGGTGCTCATGACCCTTTGACCCCCGCCCCCCCCAACTCCCGGCCCCTGCGGTCCCTGTGGTCCCTGCTGTCCCTGCGGTCCCTGCTGTCCCTGCGGTCCCTGCTGTCCGGCTGCCCGGGCGGCTAAGGGGCGGGTGTGCGCTCCGCAGGATCATCCACCAGGACGGCTACTCGCCGGAGGAGTGCCTGGAGTACAAGTCCGTCATCTACGGCAACGTGCTGCAGTCCGTGCTGGCCGTCGTCCGGGCCATGGCCGCGCTGGGCATCGACTACGCCGAGCCCAGCCGTGCGGTACGTGCTTAACGGTGTGCGGTCAAGGGTGGGTGGAAAGAGAGGCAAGTAAGAAATGGGCCAGAGTGTGGTCCCGACACACCAAGGCTGCGGGTTCCATCCCTGGTCAGGGCACACACAAAATCAACCAATGAGTGCGCCAATGCTGATGGGTTCCTCTGCACCATCTCGCCGGCTTCCCGGGCGGTCTGGTCTCTAAGCGTCCAGTGTCCCTGAGCAGAGGGCCGCGTCCTGTGGTGGTGTGCCTGCGGACTGAGGGTGGAAGGTGGGGACACCCGAGGGAGGCCCCGGGACCTCTGCTCCCTGCTGGGCGCCCAGGACCGGACAGACCGCCACCCTGCACCTTGGAAGCCCACTCAGAAATCAGTCAGCATGCTTTCTGAGACAGAACCTTTGCTGGCCGCTGCCCGCTGGCTGCCGTCCCTGCGCCGGGCTGTGGGAGCAATGCCAAGCGCCCTCTGGCCGCAGGACCCCGGCCCCACCCCCAGCCAGCTTTCTGCCTTGCAGGAGGACGGGCGGCTGCTCAGCCACCTGGCCGACTCCGTCGAGGAGGGCACCATGCCCCCCGAGCTGGTGGCGGTCATCGGGAGGCTGTGGCAGGACGGTGGGGTGCAAGCCTGCGTGGACAGAGCCGCGGAGTACCAGCTCAATGACTCGGCCTCCTAGTGAGACTGGCTGGGCCGGGGTGGGCTGGGCGGGAGGAGGCGGGGCCACCTTCCAGGAGAGACTCCGGGCCTGAGGGCCGGAGATCCGGGCCCGAATGCAGGCCGTGTCCGGCTGGTTGGGCTCCCGGGAGTTTTACTGCGCGTTGGGCGTGACGCCTCCTTCAGGTTAGGACGTGGGCCGCTCTGTGTCGCTCCGCATGGGCCCGCGAAGCTGAAGGCCCAGAGTTCAAGCCGGAGGCGCTCTGTGCAGCAGCCCTCAGCCGGCCCCAAAGCCTCACATGTCACCCCTCCCTTCAGAACCAGGGCCGCTAGGACGGCCAGCCGGCCCCCCAGTCTGCCCCCTCGCCCAAAGGGCCCCAGTGCATCATGGCCCTCTGAGGGCTGGATTTCCAGCTGGTAACCCAGGCTCTACGTAGGCCTCTAACCAGAACTGATGACAGTCCCCTTCGCTCATTCTGTCTTGTGTCCCGGGTGCCAGGGTGTGGTGGGGCACAGACGTCGCCAGGCAAACCAAGGGTAGTCGGTCAGCGATGGGAGCAAACAGCTGTGCAAAGCTGGCCCCAAAACCACGAGGCGCAGAGTGCGTCCGTCAGTCTGACCTCGAACAGTGAAGCTCTGCAGACAGACGGGCATGAGCTCCGCGGTCCAAGACACGCCCCGGCTCAGCCCTCGTCCCGTCACTGAATCTGGGGACGCGGGGCCCTGATGGTCCCCGGGGCCTCCCTCGGAGGCTGCGCTGGGCACACCACCTCATTTCATCTGCAGAAGCTTCCAAGGCAGACAGGACTCTCCAGGAGCCCTGTTCACAGACGAAAACGGGGCTTCAGAGAAGCTCATTAGCTTCGAGCACGACTGATAGGCGCCCAGTCACGTAAAGAAGTGGCCGGGTCTAGTTCAGGCTGGAGGTGCAGTCTGGTCTGTCCATAGTTGCTTTTTTTTTAATTTTTACCCACAGCCCACCCCAGTGCCCCTCCTCGCCCCTGAACGAGCCGTGTGACTCCTCTGAACCCTCCCGTGGTCTGTGACGCGGGACACGGCGCTGAGGCGCCCGCACAACGGGCGCTCGTGCGGCCCCTCGCCGCTCCCTCTTGGCGCCTCCACTCCACGTCTGCCCTCCCCCCATCCCCCCCTTCTCTAACCCGTTTTCATGGGAGCTGTCGCACCCACACAAAAGTAGAACTGCACAGCGAATCGCCTGGCTTCAACCGTTACCAACGCGTGGCCACTCGAGTGTCATCTTCCCCCTCCACTGGGTTATGTTGGAGGAAATCCCAGATATCCTATGACTTCACCCTAAAAATGTCACCACGCATCTCTAAAAATGACTCTTTTTAAGAAAGAAACCACTATATAATCACACCTAAATATTTAATAATTCTCGAGTGTCATGAAACACCCAAGCCTCCCCCGTTGTGTGGAAAGTTCCCCCCAACCTGGTTCAGGGTGTACTCTCGGTCCACGCATCGCGGTGGTTGCTGTCTCGTGTTCCTGCTGGCCCTCTTCGCCCACTCCCATTTTGGGGTGGGACTTCCGGCACCCACCGCAACCACCGAATCTCAGGCGAGGGTCTGGAAGCCCCGTAGCCAGGGGAAATGCGAGGACGTCACCTGACCCAACTCACAAGGGCAGGACCCTGCGGCAGAGGGGCCCAGCCCTCAGCCAGCCCCACACCTCCCTCTGCAAGGACACACGAGGGTTCGCGGGGAAGAGCCTTAGGCTGAACAGTCTGGATTCTGGCCCTGGTTCTGTCACGTGAGGCTGTGTGCCTGTGGGTGAGGTTCTTTGCCTGTCCTGGCCTTGGCCGTGGAAAATCTAGGATCGTCAATGCCCATGACTCTTCTCAGCTACCTGAACCAACTGGACCGCATTACGGCCCCCGGCTACCTCCCCAGCGAGCAAGATGTGCTGCGCTCCAGAGTCAAAACCACAGGCATCGTGGAGACCAAGTTCTGCGTCAAGGACTTGAACTTCAGGTGGGCGCGAGGCCCCTGAAGGCGCCACAGGCACACGGGCAGTTCCCTGGGAGTGGGGGCGCGGGCGCGCCTGCCGACCTTCACCGGGCCCAGTCCGAACGCGCGTCCTACACGCCCTGGACACACGGTTCCCATCCCACGGCCAGCTGGCCCCACGGGAGCCGCCTGCCCGGGGGCAAGCACCCGGTGCACGCGGTCACACGCTGGCCACACCTGCGAGGACGGTCATTTCTCCCCCCAGGATGTTTGACGTGGGCGGGCAGCGGTCGGAGCGCAAGAAGTGGATCCACTGCTTCGAGGGGGTCACCTGCATCATCTTCTGCGCGGCCCTCAGCGCCTACGACATGGTGCTGGTGGAGGACGACGAAGTGGTGAGCCAGCCGCTGCGGCGCCGGGCAGCCTGGGCGGACAGGGCCCCCACGACCCTCCCTCTGGGAGACGGGTCGCTGCAGCGCCCCACCCCCCGGTGATTTCGGCCGACAGCGACCCTCTACCAGCCTCTAACAGACCGATAGGTACTCCTGCCAGCTCCAGGTTCTAGCTCAGCACTTTGGAGCCCCAGACTGACCGAGCGTTTGGCCCACGTGACATCCGAGTACCACGTGGCCGGCACGAGCTCAGGGGAGGGGCTGCACGTGGAAGGAACAGGGGTCAACTCGGCAAAGCAAAGGAGCTGCGCTCAGCACATGCCCAGGCCGCCCGTGGGAGTGAAGGGTGGGAGGTGAGGACGACGGAGCAGGGTTACATCCACCTTCACACAGCGCGGTAGCGGGGGCCGAAGCCCGAGCCTCACTTAGAACTGTGTGCACTAGGTAAGTACTGCCTGCACACAGGACTGAGACGCAGCACAGCACTCGACTGGGCAGCCGGACGGTCACCCGAGGGCGGGTCTCTGGGGCCTGCAGGTTTAGGAGACAGGGGCTCTGCGGGACAAGTGCCGGCCCAGACGGTCACCTCCCGGGTCTGAGACCGAGGATGTCAGAGGCAGGGGCGGCGCTGACCTCACACCAGCGTCTGCTCCACCATCGGGGGCCCGGCGCTGCCGGGGTGGAGACAGAGCTCCTGCCCTCCCGCCCTCCTGCCCCCTGCTCCAGTTCTTCTCCCTTCTCCTCAGTAGTTCAAGTTCACATGAGAGCACCCTAAGTATCTTCCAGCCAAGTGTCTCACAGGGTCCCTCATTTTCCAAGACCGCTTCGAGTCTCCAAGGTCTTCAGAGGTCTTCAAGGGCTTCCCAAGAGTGTTAGCAATGACAGAAGGCTACAGCATAGCTTGTCTTTATCAGGTGACGAGAGTGGAGTTAGCTAAGAGCATGCATGCTTCGGGACTCCACGGGCCCGCTCCCCAAGACCAGGCTGGTCCGGCGCACCGGGCAACCTCTGCGCTCTGCAGACGCACGGTGGCCATCGGTCGGAGAAGGAAATGGGGGGAAGAGCTTGTGTGTGGCCCTGGGAAGCCCCCCAGCCCTCACCCTGGGCACCGGGCTCAAAGGATCCCCATTACGTTCCCGCCCACACTGAGACCCAGGGCTCTGTAACAGAAGCTTCTCGGAATCATCCTGGGGATGCAGGTCGGCACACGCTAACCCGGGCCCAGCTCCAACCCCACGTCAGGGGCACTGATGGAGGTCAAAACCCTCAGCTGTGCCCCGGCCGCCACAGACCTGCATAATAACATCCTTGACCTTCGCAGCCAGGGACATTCTCCATACGTGATCTCATCTACCGTGCACGGTGACCCCGTGAGATAGGGAGACAGGCTCTGAGAACTCGGCGATTTTCCCCAGCCACACGGCCAGGGCAGGAAGGCGAGAAGCCAAGTTCCTCTGGCTGGACTAGAAAGAGGGACGCATTCCTCGTCTTGCCCTCACAGTTGGGGCGCTAGTCTCCGCACGAGGGCAGGCAGCCAGGCACCCCTGGGCCTGGCCTGACGCCCCCTCTGCCGGCTCGCTCTCCCCAGAACCGCATGCACGAGTCGCTGCACCTGTTCAACAGCATCTGCAACCACAGGTTCTTCGCAGCCACGTCCATCGTCCTCTTCCTCAACAAGAAGGACCTCTTCGAGGAAAAGATCAAGAAAGTCCATCTCAGCATCTGTTTTCCGGAGTACGGCGGTAAGCGAGTGTCGAGGGCTGGAGACAGCGGTGGTGCGTTCTCGGTCAGGACGGCCTGGGGCCTTGTGTCCTGGGCCCGGGAGACGAAAGGGGACGCTCTCTGAGGAAGGAGAAGGAGTGCTCAGCGAACCCCCCACTCTGCCAGGCTGGTGACCCCTCGTCCCCTCAGTACTCCCTCCTCTCGGGAGCTCTGCGACGACAAGTGGTGTTTGGACGTCTCAGCTGAGAGCCATGGGTGTCCAGCCCGAGGTCCAAGGTCCGAGGGCTCTGGAACAGAGCCTGCGTCAGACGCGGGGGGCCCCTGCTATTCCGACGGTAGCTGCCAGCAGCCGGGGCGGAGACGCAGCCGCCGCTCTCCTCGGTGTCTCTGCTCCCCCCCAGGGAGGAACGCGGGAGGGTGACACAGGAGGGGACCCTCCTCCCGCCGCGCGGGCCCCCGGCCGCAGCTAACACGGCGTTCTGCGGACCCGGTCGGCCGCCTGAACAGTAAGTGAGCAGCGGAGGAGTGTCCATTCACCCTGCTTCCTCGCTGTCTCTTCCGGAAAACCAGGGAACAACTCTTACGAAGACGCAGGGAGTTACATCAAGAGTCAGTTCCTCGACCTCAACATGCGAAAAGACGTCAAGGAGATCTACAGCCACATGACCTGCGCCACAGACACGCAGAACGTCAAGTTCGTGTTCGACGCGGTCACAGACATCATCATCAAAGAGAACCTCAAGGACTGCGGGCTCTTCTGACCGCCGCCGCTTCTCGAGTGTGAGCCGTGCCGACGGGACTGGGGTCCGGGCGCTCCCCGGCGGGACACCATGGGCCACGGCACCGTGACCCGGGGACGAGGGCACCCTCCCCTGGAGACGGGGCAGGCATGGCCGGGACGGCCCTCCCACCCTGTGCTCTCAGCAGGGCAGCCCACACAGTTTAAAGAGCCCAGGGCCAGCAGTCGGAAGACCCGGGTTCCAGCACTGGTTCTGCACCTTACTGGAAAGTGTAAACACGTCCTCTGTCTGAGCGTGAGTCCCTCCCCTCCGAAACGAAGACCGTGCACTGCTCTGCTGCCTCCCAGGGTTATTCTGACGATCACAAACGTAACAGAAGGGAGGGCGCAGAAAGGCTGTGTGGTTAGTCTCAGGCAGAAACCCCGCATGACGGCTGCCGTCCAGGAAACGCAGCACCAGGTTTCCTGATGCACTGTCCCAGGCAAAGCAGAAGACAACGACAGAACCCCACCATGAAAAACAAGCCCCCAGGCTAAGGCAACACAGAGATCTGTCAGCGGTGGGTTTACTAAGATCTGGATGGCTGGAGAGGCAAGTTAGTTTCCAAGGCCCGTACCTAAAAACAATCATCTTTACTAAGCATAGACTACCCTCCTCCCTCCTCCACCTGCTAACGAGACAAAGTTTCCTTTAGCTTTAAGTAACTGTTTCTCAGCTACACGAGCCACTTTCTGAGTAAACTGGGAGCGTGTCAACACATTCGCACTCAGGAATACTATAATGATTTTACAGCCGCGACTTCTCCCTGACAGAATTGAGAGTAAGCGAGCAATCCTAAAATTCTCATTGCAACTGCTACATGTTTTGCAACAAAACAGGCAGCTGATCTTGCTTCACGCAGTAAAAACCTGTGCGGTTGGGGGAACTCCTGTGAGGCCTGGCTGAAAACAACATCTTCCCAAACAGACCAAGTAAATTGCCCCTTTTTACTTGGAGGGGAAAGGAAGCTGGCTTTGCATTCATCGTCACAGGAGGGGGTGAAGGCGGGTACAGATTTAGCATTTACAACTGCTCCTGAGGAAGGCTCTTGGCATCCAGCTTCAGTCTATAAAAGAACGTGTCAGTTAAAATGAAAACACTCTCCTTGCCAGCAACAAACACACTTCCCCACTTAGGCTGCTACTAGCCCCAGTGATACCAGAGAGCCGGATGAGCCTGGAGCACACCGAGGAAAAAACTCGGGGCTGTTAAAATTGGATTCATTTGCTAGTCTGGCTCCTGGAAAAGAAACCAGCTTGGGAGGATTACCAGAGAATCCAGGGAAACGACTCTGCCTACTGCCGATGAACACGCTTCAGCCCCAGAAAAAGCCAGGGTGAGACGTCTTGCATCCGTGCGCTGTACAGGGACTTTTCCAAGCCGCTGGCTTCAACTCTGACTCACTTCTGAGTTCTTTCTCCCCCCACCCCCCAACACCAAATCCAAGGGAAAGTTTTAGAAAGTCACAGAGGTAGAAGAAGTGAGCCAGCTGGGCTGTGTGGGCTCAGGAAACAAGCAACAGAAGCAAAACAAGGGCCCTGGGAACTCTGGAGAGCGAGCAATGGTGCGTGCCTTGGGGGAGTGAAAGGGAGGAAGAGGTAGGGAGGGGTGCTCCAGAGAAAGGGGGAGGGGAGGAGGGGAAGAGAGAGAGAACACCCTTTTTATTTTTTTATGGGTCCTTGGGCAGTCTGATGAAAGCTCTGGGCCTCTTCTCAGAACACTTAAGAACGCCTGAAATAAACTGGGAATCACTGGGAAAACCAGCACACCAGGTGCAGTTCCAGGTGGCAGCTCTGAAGCACCCGGGCAGAATCCTCACCAGAGCTGCGGCCTTGTCTACACAGGCCCCCAACACAGTCTATCCCGCTTCATCCACCTTCAAACAGGGAAGCCCCACCTCCCCACACTCACACCGTGTCCCTTCCTTCTTTCATGAGCTTTCCCTTGATCTCTGACTCCAGGCAGGGATTCGTTCTGGGCCAGACTAGGAAGGTCTACCCCAGGCCCCCGGTCACTGGTGTTTCTGCAGAACCTGCCCCAAGTACGCGGGCATGGACACGGTCAGCGAGACAGGCCTCCTGGAAGAACAACGTCTAGCAGAATGAAAGTCTAGTTCAACTGTCCCCCTTTTCTCTGGTCGATGTTCCACCTTTTAACTGGTTTGTAAACAGTCACACGAGCCACCTTGCACGAATACCCACAAGTTCACTCTGGAGGCGGAAGCAGCGGTGCCCAGGGCAACCGTGGTCTGCGGCTGCTTCGGGATCTGTTTACTCGTCTGACGATGCTCTCCACTAGAACTCTTCGGGCCAGTCCACGTGGGATAAAACTCTGGGGCCTTGGCCCTCCATCCCCTTGCACCCCACAATGGCGTCAAAATGACCTCAGGAACTCTGGGCCAACAAGGGCTCGCCTCTGGGTGCGAAGGTGAATGCCGTGGACAGGTTTCCCCGAAGGGCACTGCTCCCTCCCCAGCTTGACGGGCAGGCCCCCGGGTGGCCCCCAGACTACGCCCAGAGCACACTCGTACTGTACACACAACTGGTTTATTTTTATCTCACGGGCTTTTTGACTAGTGAGCATGAAGAGTTCTTTTTGCATATAATAGCTGCTAGAAAACTTAAAACCAAAATTAGCCACGTACTCACTCTGCTGTCTTTGCTTTCTTTTGCTTCCTTTTAAATTTGCGCTATACTGTTAGCTTTAAGTACTTTTATAAGTGATCAGAAATTCTTTTTTTTGTTATAAGGTAGGTCAGAAAGAAATTTTCAACCCTATTTTCACGAACTGCAACCCTAACCATTCTAGGCCCATCACTAGCAATGTACAGATAAGGAACTAAGGCCCAGGGAGCTGGAGTGTCTGGGAAGATCACACTGACGGGAGGTAGCACAGAGAACTTCAAAACCGTCTTCTGAATGCAAAGCCCTTGACCCTTCTCTACCCATCAGGCTCAGGCTACACTGTCCAGTGAAGTCAGACTTCTCATTCTCTAAGCTCCTCCCACTCCCAACCAAATTCTTGGTTATTTAATTGTGCAATCTCTAAATCAGAGATATTTAACATAATCATCTCCAAACTAAATACCAAGCAGTCTGAAATGGAATGCGAAGTCAGCATAAAATGACAAAAAAGAACGGCTGTTTGTTGGAGGTATCACTTCCTGTTCGTGTCCTTAGAGAGCAGCCCCCCCCCCCCGCCCCCGCTCTGCGGGATTCTGCACTGGAGACGGCACACCTGTTGGAAACTAGGTTCCATGGCACATGTACACCTGATGAAATTTGTTACCCCCCACATACACAAAAATACCGTATGACTGACACAAAAGGCCACACACCCTGGGATTCCACTTACACGAGGAACAACAGTCACCAGGGGCTGGGCGGGGAGGGGGTCAGCGTTTCCAGGGACAGAGCTCCGGGCTGGGCAGGTGGGAAGTTCTGGGCACGGATGGGGGTGCTTGGGGTGCACAATGTGGATGTAGTTAATACCGCTGAGCTGTTTTACAATAACTAAAACGGTAAGTTTGATGTTCTGTATACCTGACCACAATAAAACAGGGGGAAAAGCGTACACGGCAACTGGAATGTGCTTGTACGTTTCTGTGGGGGAGGACTGGGTGAAAGCAGCACACAAGCTCAGTCCTAAAGGCAAAGTTAAGGACTTGCATGTGTAACGAGTCCTGCTCTGATGAGCACAATTCACCCACATGCAGCCCGAACAGACCAATCAGGGCGGCCCCGTCCCCACGGTGAGAAGTAACAGCATGCGAAGCCCAGTCTGTACTCGGGGATGTGCCGGGTGGAGGAGGTGGTGAAGGGGGAGAGCCCCTAGCGCCCCCTGCCCTCCCGACCCGGCAGCCCCCGGAGCTCAGATTCCAGCAGGACCTCAGGGTCAGGCAGGGATCACCAGTGCGCCAGAGCCTCTGCGGGTCCCGCTGGGTCAAAGCGTGCAGACGTTTCGGTGGGGAGAAACAGCAGAAGGGACCTCTCTGCCTTCTGGTCATGAAAAAGTGCTAGTATGAACAGAAAATAAAAAACTGGACTTAAATGCAAAATGAAGACCTTCCACCTGCTCCACACATAGTTGCGGTTCATTCCGGGTCTTCAAGGTGAGCAGGGGGAGCGGAGCCGGGGACAGACGGCCGGCCCCAGGGGAGCGTCTGCGGCTCCGACCGCCCCGGAGCCTTCCGTGCCGTGCGGGGTCGGCCTGAGAACCGGGAGCGCTCCCAGAGCACTGGTAAGTGTGACTGCTGTTTGATGACAACCACGGAACTTCACAGTCGGAACCTTCACGGAACCCTCAGCCAACAGAACAGGGATGTAAGACGCGAGATTCCACAGCCAGCCGGGGGCAGAGGGAAAACAGAACCCAGCACGCCAAGCAGCGCTCCAGCCTGCCCCGGTTCCGAGGTCTCGGGGCCCTTATCCCACACGAGCAGGAACGCGGTTAGAACAGGCAGTTTCTTGCCGTCTGTCCTCTGGGAATCTCTCGCACGTGGACCGTGGGCGCGTGAGGGAGGCAGGGGAGGGGTTAGGACAGCGCTGGTCAACGGCTGTGCCGCAAGAATTTCTAAAACATGCAATATCTGACCGTGTAGCCAGGGCAGGGACCTCTTCCCTTAGGATGTCAAATCAGAAAATGACGACAGCCAACACGACAGCCAACACAACAGCCCTCGGGTGTGGATGAATCCAAATGATAGCTATTTTTTTTTTTTCAGATTGGAAAAAATATTTTTTGGTGTGCCTCAGAATTTTAACAATTAGTTTGTGTGTGCCATGAGATGAAAAGGGTTGAAAACCGCTGGGTTGGGAGGCAGAAAAACCAGGTTGTACGAAACGGGACACCCCTGCTCTCAGAGCCCGGAGCACAGCGAGGGCTCACCCCCCGAGACGGCGTGCCCCCGCTGAGCACTGACCACCTCTGCTGCTCGGTGACCCGCCCGGACCCCAGGCGGAGGAGGCGTTAGCGCTGCCCACAGACCCTCCCACACCCGTCTCAGCCACGCGCTCCCCCACGGCTCCCCAAGCCCCCCCCTCCCCCCCCGCAAGGCTTCCACTCCCTGGCTTAGGCCGCAGGCTTTGCTCTTTTCCCACCGACGGTAAATGTTCGTGTTTTTACACACACAGGTGGGGCTATCCTGGGCTTTTAGCTTTCCTTTGGTGTGCGTGTCTTTCAGTTTCCACGGCATAAATAAATGCAGTGAAATAAATACAATGTTTAGAAGCCCGTTTCTTGTTTTAATTTTGTATAAAAACTAAGTATCTAAAATGTAGGAATGTTCTTTGACCAAACAGTCCTCACACTAAACGTTTTTGGGGGGAAGGCACGGTAAGCCACGTATAAAAGGTGCTTGTTATTGGCAAATACAAATAACTCAGCCGTCCTCGGGGGATGCTGCTGTTACCTGTGCTCGGCTTGTGCTGGTATTTAATACCAGGTGCGCTCAACTGTCCCCAATGCTGGCCCAGGCGGCAGCATCGGAACCACCTGGGGCATTTTTAGTTAAAAGTGCTTGCTCCCAGTCTGGTCTCAGACATCTTAATGTAGTAGTAGCTTAGCCAAGGAATGCACACACCTTAATCCTGCATCTCTAGGGTAGCTACTCCTATACACCATTCCTTATCAACCTATTCCCGGGAAGGCTGAGTCAGACTAGCCCTGGGCTCGACCCTATCAGACACACCGGCCCTGCCCTGACTGGTCCCGATGTGCGCCCTCCTCAGCGGAAGGAAGTACCCGTAAAAGGCTCTGGGAAGCTGGGGGTAGAGGGGGGTGTTTTAAAACCTAAACAAAGGTGACGTAACAAACGTCCTGACCATCCTGGACGAGAGTTCTCCGGGCCTCTCTTACATCTTTCTTTTACTTTCCAATAGTTGGCAGCAAGATCGACCTTTTCAAACTGACCTTTTAGAGAGAGAACATGTGATTTGCTGTCCCACTGACTGATGCACCAACTCATTGGCTGATTCTGGGACGTGCCCCGACGAGAAATGTCAGCCCCATGGGGTGACACTCCAGCCGACTGAGCTACCGGCCAGGGCAAGACTTTCAGTGTGAAGCCTCGAAGCAGCAGCGGGTTTTCCCTTGTGCTCGGATGGCCTCGAAGCTCCGTGGAGAGCTGCGGCCGGCCCGGGGCCACAGCCCTCACCTGTGCCTCGAGGCGCGGAGAACCCAAAGGCGACCCGGCAGGCCGGGAAACCGAGACGACTTCCGGGCAGCGCCGCGTAGGAACGACTTCGTGAGTGACGGAGCGGCGGGCGTCGGCGCTGTTCTCGGTTTATAACCGAGGGAGCGGAGAGGACGCCTCTCTCTGGAAAGGGGAAGTCGTCTGGAGGGGGGGATCAGTCAAAGGCCGCGTGTGGCTGGAACGCGGCCAACCTTACCTTGCGTGTGCTTGGAGCAAGGAGCTCCGCAACAGGAAACCCCAGAACTGCGCTAGGCCAATGGCGGCGGATGAGGAAACGAGTGCGGCCGGACGAGGACGTCCAGAGAAACTCACGACCACAAATCAGAGAACGACGACCAGCATGTGTGGAAATAAGGGGGCCAATGAATGAGGAGAACCAGCAATTATTTTCAAATACTCCAAAATTTGCATGTCGTAAAACAAATACACGGGAGAATAAAAAGAAGAACAAGGCAAGAGAACAGTTTTTACAATTTTGGTCCATCTATTCTCAGAATGCAGCACATTGTGAAAAACACAATCCATCAGCAAATAAAGAAGTGATACACTGAACTAGACTTAGAAATCTAACAGTCTAAGAGGAAAATGTCATCTCAAGATCCACGTACGCACAACGGCAGAAGTTTCTGGAATGTGCACGCCGGGAGGTGAGCCCTGTCGCGAGGCTGAGAGCCTGGGGCGGCCGGGCGGGGGAGACTCGCTGTCAGCGGCACGGCCTGCGGGCCTTCCTGCCGGGGCCCCTACAGACTGGCCGTCATTCACTAAAATCTAACGCTCTCACGTGTGGTGATTTCTTGGGTGGTCCAAAGCCTGGCCACCTGAATTCTGAAACACGACCCATCACAAACCTCCAGCATTCTTCACAGACAGGACCCCAGGCGACCTTCAGTTTCTTTGATCACAATGATCAATCCTTTTTCTCCATCCTAGTAGATATGACGTCTCACACCCATATTCTAGCTCTGCTCTAAGAAAAAATTTTTCATTTCAAAATGTGATAGTGATTAGCAAGGCTGCTGATCAGAACAACCTTTTGAAAGTTACAGATTGCTAGCCCGCTGGCCACGAGTCAGTCTCTGAGTTGGATCGGGAGATTTTGACTTAAGGCATATTTGAAAACCACTGACTCACACTGTGCCCTGTGTTCACGAGGAATGGACATATAGGTAAGTGATTTGGGATGGTGGGTAAGGGATGGTCTTCACGTAAATAAAGAACAAGTGTGACTGTTGTAGAGACCAAGAAGTGGGGAACTACTATCTTTCACTAACGAAGGGCTAAAAATGAACAAACAGACGTATTCAAATGAGAAAACAAAATGCATTTTAAAATAACATTAATGTTTTGATGATCTGTTATTCTGGGTTATCAACAGCACCATCCCATTAGTCCAGACTACGGAAAGACTCCAGTTAAGGCAATGCTGGAGCAGTTCTCATAACCGGATGATTCTATTTACAAAGCACAGTAAGGAAAAGACAAACTCAGAACAAACAAGAACTATCAACCCTATTTACATTGTGGGCCTAAGTCAGTCGCCAGTTGAAGCCGATCATTTTCTTTCTTTTAGATCCAGTTTTCCCAACCCTAAAAAAAATTTGTTAGCTAACACAGTTCACCATCTGCATATACTTTTCCAAAAAGAGTAAGAGAGAGAAAAAAAAAACAAAAAAACCCAGAAACTACCAATAAAGGTACTGCACTCCTGCGGCTGACTCTCTGAACCAGATGCGATGACCACCACACCTCTCTTTTCGTTCGAACGAGTGAAGGGTCACGTCCAAGATGAAACCAAATCCAGCCCTGGAAGACCGGACCCCGGAAGGCACTGCTCCAACTGCAAACACGGAATGCCCTGCATGCACCCCCTCGCCTGACTCCCGCGCCCACACGCTGGGCACCGACAGGCGCCGTGCCTCGCACGGACCACACCACGGGCTGGGGTGACCGGGGCTCCGCACAGCCAGAACGGGAGCCCGGAGAGCGCTTCTGAGCAGATCACCTACACAGACAGGACCTACGGCCGCAGACCGCCGAGAAGCAGCATCACTATCGCCTCAGGGGACCTTTCCACCTGAACCCGCTCTCAGACAAAGGCCAAAGCACACTCAGCAGGGGCACAAAGAAACACAAGAAAATATTCCCAGAAAGGACTAGTTACAAACAGGGACAAACCTGGACTCTTTACTCACCATTTTAATACTGCTGCCAACTACGACAGATTAAAATCTGCACACACGACAAAGGGGAAGAAGGTCCCAAAATGCAATAGTTTCGGCAAAAGGAGGTACTAAGGATTACTATAATTAACACTGCTACAATAAAAACAATGGCAAACGGGGATTTGGCACCACATTTACAAAGGAAAAGCATGCACTGCTAATACACGTCAGATGTTGCCCACAACAGAAGAGGCCGTGGAAGATGAAAAACAAAGGGCATCTTTTACAAAATTCCCTGTGACCGAGACAAACGAGCAAGAATCAAAGCTGTCGATTTAGCAGAGATGTAGCATCAAAGTCACTGGTTCTGTTTGAAATTTAGCAATTTGCATTTCTGGCTGGCAGCTGCCCTGGGTGTGTCTGAATCCAAGAAGTTGACTTTATCATACCACAGAAGTATTTACCTAGTAATTTGGTAAATCAGGTTAACCTTCAACCCTAAGCTTAAAAAAAAAAGAGAGCTAGAATCTTATTACAGAACTCTCCAATGTAATTACCATTTAGAAACCATAATGGTACTTTCAACAGGAGAGTAACAAATATTGCATCCAAAAAGCTGTAATTCCAGCCCCGTAACTGAAGAATCAGATTATTACGGAAATATTCCATTGCAACCACACCAAGAGTAAAAACAACGGGTCCTACGGAGAGGAATGCTTTTAAGAAGATCTGCTCGTATCATGTGCATAGTTAAGACTCTGTGTTTTAATAAAGATTCTTTTGTAAACAAAGAAATAAAATTTAGTAAAGTTATTTGTGGGAAAAATTGTTTTTTAAAGAGCTGCTGATGGTCTGTGAAGAAGTAAAAACAAAAAAGAGTAAGCTACGTACTGAAGTTCTGGGATGCAGCACCTCAATTTCACACCTGCCCTAAACATCTGAGATTACGGAATCCGAGTGAGTCTTGATTCATACTTTACAGTTGCTCCAATTCCCATGTCTGATTCTAGCATCTCGTGTCAATGAGAGTTCCCTAGTACAGAGGTTGTGCTAAAGAGGGCTAAGATCCGCAGGCTGCCACCATCGCTGGTCCCGGTCGTGCTTGCCGCTGCCCAGAGAGACAGCAAGAGAAGTCTGGTCTCAGCGCTCCACACCGCGGCAACTAGAAAAGAAGAACGTTCTCAATCAGAGGAGGTCACTAGGGCGCATCACCGCTGCACCGTTAACAGAACCGCCTGAGTGGTACCTCTCCTTCGCCTGCACACGCTTCAGTACAGGCCGCACTCCTTCAGGTTGTTCTTAATGATGACGTCCGTGACGGCGTCGAACACGAACTGCACGTTTTTGGTGTCGGTGGCACAGGTGAAGTGGGTGTAGATCTCCTTGGTATCTTTTCTCCTGTTCAGATCTTCAAACTGGCACTGGATGTAAGCAGCCGCTTCTTCATACGTGTTGGAACCTGCAGCAGACACCCAATGTCCTCAGTTCAAATCCTCCCAGCTGTCTGCACTCAGCGAAGGCAGGCCAGCACCACTTACTGATGGGGGGCGGGGGTGTGACCCCACTCTGAATATGAGCAGATTCCTGTATTTCTAGAACCACTATTAGATTTTTCCTGAGAGCAGTCACATATCATTATAAAGGAAACAAAATCATCACACACAAAGATCCAGGAAAACAAAACTTTAAGTATTTCTTTCCCCTTTAATTTCAGCTTTTTGGCCAAATATCTAGAAAGTATAAAAGGAAACCAGAGAAGTAGGCGGATATGTTTCTAGGAGAACACAATTGTTTAAAAGGTCACAAACCCTGTGCTCCTTGGAGTGACTGTGAATAAGTCACACTTTTCAAAATCATTCTATTGTTAAGGGGGCTTAGCCTCGGAGGTTTATGGCAATAATTTAAATAGCCAAAGGTAAGCTAATAGATGCAAAGGGAAAGGGCCCTCCCTGAATTATACACCTTTAAGTACTAAATTTTATGGCATGTGAATTGTATCTCCATAATGCTGTTATTTTTTTAAAGGTGGGGGAACCAAAAGTAAACCCCACCTGTAATGAACACCCTCTATCACCTGCATCCTACACCGTCCTGTCCACCTGCAAATCTGTTTGGAGGGGCCGGAGAAACTGGCTGCAGAGCCAGGGAAACGCAACAAAAACACAGTTCTTCCTGTGAACCAGAGGCTACTTTCAGTGACATTAAACATGACAAAAAAACAAAACAACAAAACAAAAAAACCCCCAGTAACTAAGTGTACAAAAACTAAGTAACAAAGAAAAACTTCAGACAGAAATAGGTCTTATTTAAACAGAATCTTTAAAGAACGGAATGCAGGCAGCTTGGCAGCTGCTTGAAAGGGTTTTCCTGAGATCTGCAGAACTTCTGCAACTGAAGAGAGGCAGATGACTGAAGAATCAGGTCTGTCTGGTAGGAACATAAACTGCTACTTGGGAAATCAGGACTGTGAGAGTCCTTCAGAATAAAGTCAGTGGACACAAGGCTTGGAAGTATGTATGTGTGTGTATGTACACACACACACACACATGCACACATGCATGTGCTCGATGCGGCAACGAGGGCTCCCGGCTGTGTGTGAGGAGTCCCGGCTGGAACATGAGCGTCAATCCCTCCACCTGTCCTGGGAAGACTTCTCTCCCCCCCTAAAACCTGCCTGCTCCCTACGCAAACCCACCCAGTGCTCACGCCCGCTCACTCGGAACGATGACCACATTACCAACTTCCAAGGGGCTCAGACTAGAATCCTAACCTTTTAGCTCAACACCTTGCTTTAAAAGCTACGGCTACCTGTACTCATTTTTATACCTTTGGTCTTAGAGATGTCTTTCTTCTGGTTCAAAATTCAGTTGTTCTGTATAGACTCTTTTTTTAAAAGTTGAGGTAAAATTAATGTAACATACATGAAGTGGCATGTCCTGTATTCACAATGTTACACAACAACCAGCTCCCTAGTTTCAAAATTTGTTCACCACCCCGGAAAGGTGTCCCTTAAGTTATGGTTCCCCATTCATTCCCCCACCCCCCAAAGTCCTGATAACCGCCAGCCAATCAATCTGCTTTCCATCTCTACGGTCTGCCTATTTTGGATGCATCATATAAAAGGAACCACACAAATGTGATGTTTTGCGTTTGGCTTCTTCCACTCAGCATGATGCTGACGGGGTTCACCCGAGCCGCAGCACCCGTCAGTACACAGGGAGGAAGAAAGGCTCCTTTTCACGGCCGAGTACCATCCCACTACATGGACATGCCACTCTGTTCCCCTCATCAGACCTGGGCTCGTGGCTCCTCCTCTCCCCACCCGCTTACAATTCTCGCTCCACCGATCACATCCACCTTCTGTAACTTTTCTTTTGCTACAGGTTCTTACCTCTAAGCCTATAAACATTCATCTGGCCCCGCGCTCATTCACTCCACTGAAACTGCTCTCAGTACTGGCCAAGCCCAGAGGCCACTTTCCACTGTGTATCTCTCTCTTTTCCTGTACACAGCACTGGTGACCAGCCCTCGCTTCTTAAACGCTCCTCTTAGTTTCTGACACTTTGGCTCTCCTGGCTCTTCTCTCTCAACCTCTGTCAACCCTTCTTTCTCTCCTGCCGACAGAGGCTGGCTTTCAGTCTCACTCCCTCCATGGTCCTTCTCCCTCCTCATTCTGTATCATTACCCCAAGTCATTGTTCTCATTTCCATATTGCATCTCAAATCAACATGCCTTCACCTGCAAGCTCCAAGGCCATGTGTACAACTGTCTATCAGATAGCTCTGTCTAGATGTTCCACAGACACTTCAGTATCTACATTCCTAAATACAAATTCACAGCACAGCACCAGCACCCAATCAAGACAGAACTCTTGGGCCCTGGCTGGTATGGCTCAGTGGACTGAGTGCCGGCCAATGAACCAAAGGGGACGCTGCTTCAATTCCCAGTCAGGGCACATGCCTGGGCTGCAGGCAGGTTCCTCAGTGCGGGCCACACAAGAGGCAGCCACACACTGATGTTCCTCTCTGTCCCTTCCCCTCTGTCTAAAAATAAAATCTTTTAAAAAAGAGAGAAAAGGACAGAACTCCTGGGAGTGCCTGTGACCCCTCCCCCTCCCTTACCCTGGCCTCCTCACAGACGGCATTCGGTGTTTGCGCAGCGAATAAAGGTCACAGCGCTGCAGCCCTGGCGGTCATGTCTCTCCTAGGAATTTGGACCCGGGGCCAACTGACCCCAGTCTAGCTTCGTCTTTTAAATGGAGAAGACACAGGAACTGTGGCAGGACCGTCTTCTACCATATAAACCGAGCAGTAGAAAAAGTTGGTAAGGAGAGGGAGGATAAAGAAGACACAGGAAGAGGAGAAAAAGGAGGAGGGAAAGAAGTGTTTCCAGGGGTCTTGCCAGTTTCTAACTCCTAGTTCTAGCTGCATTCTTAAGACACGTCTGCATTCTGCATTCTTGCCATAGCTTCTATGACACATACCTGTATCTTCACCAAAAGTTTTTGTTTGCATCCAGAGTCCTATTTCAACTCCCCTACTATCTTTTTTGCCATTGCCTGCATAATCTTTTTCGAGCAGTTTCTACGACATCATCTCCCCCAATTAAAATCCTCCCAGAGCTCCCTACTGTCGCAGCTAGAGAAACGAGGCCTTCCGTGAGCGTCCCTGAACATCTCTCCAACCGGTCCTTCCCCCACTTAAAGTTCCGGCTACACCAAGTTCCTGCTAGGCTCCAGAACAAATCATGTCACTTTTACCTCCCTATTTTCATTTTCTTGAAAATGTATTTTATTAATTATGTTATTACGGTTGTCCCAATTTCCCCCCCTCTGCTCGGTACCCTCTTTCTCTCCAGCAATCCCTGCCCCTTAGTTCATGGGTCGGGCATTTAAGTTCTTAGGCTCCTCCATTTCCCACACTACTCTTAACCTCCCGTCTATTTTGTACCTACCAGTTATGCTTATTCCCTGGATCCTTTCCCCCATTCTCCCCCTTCCCAGCTGAAAACCCTCTAAATGATCTCCATACCTATGATTCTGTTCCTGTTCTGGCTGTTTGCTTAGTTTGTTGTGTGTTTTTTTTTAAGATTCACTTTTTGATAGTTGTAAATTTGTTGTCTTTTCAATGTTCATAGTTTTCATCTTCTTTTTCTTAAATAAGTCCCTTGAGCATTTCATGTAATAATGGCTCAGTGATAATGAACTCCTTTAGCTTTACCTTGTCTGGGAAGCTCTTTATCTGCCCTTCCATTCTAAATGATAGTTTTGCTGGATAGAGTAATATTGGATGTAGGTCCTTGCTGTTCATCCCTTTGAATACTGTGTGCGAGACCCTTCTTGCCTGCAAAGTGTCTTTTGAGAAATCAGCTGATCGTCTTATGAGAACTCCTTTGTAGGTAACTCTGCTTCTCTCATGTTGCTTTTAAGGTTCTCTCTTCATCTTTTTAAAAAATTTCATTCCTAGGTATTTTTTTTAAGTTTGCTTTAAAGATTTTATTTATTTATCTTTAGAGAAAGGGGAAGGGAGAGAGAAAGAGGGAGAGAAACATCCATGCGTGGTTGTCTCTCACAGGCCCCCAACTAGGGACCTGGCCTGCAACCCAGCTCGTGCCCTGACTGGGAAGTGAACCGGCGGCCCCTTGGTTCCCAGGCCGGCCCTCAGCCCACTGAGCCACACCAGCCAGGGCTCTGTCTCTAGCTTTAACCTTTGGCATTTTAACTATCATGTGTCTTGGTGTGGTCCCCTTGGGGTCCAACTTGTTTGGGACTTTCTGTACTTCCTGGACTGCTATGTCTATTTTCTTCACCAAATTAGGGAAGTTTTCTTTCATTATTTTTTCAAGTAAGTTTTCAGTTTCTTTCTCTTCCTTTTCTCCTTCTGCACCCCTATGATTTGGTTGTTGGGACGTTTCAAGTTGTCCCAGAGGTTCCTAAGCATATCCTGGTTTTGTTTTGTTTTTTAATTCTTTTGTCTTCCTGCTGTTCTGATTGAATGTTTTTTTCCTTCCTTTTGTTCCAAATCATTGATTTGATTCTCAGCTTCATCCTTGCCACTGTTGGTTCTTTGCCTGTAGGTTTTTCTTTATTCCATTTAGTGTACCCTTCATTTCTTCCCTTCTGTTTTTGCCATACTCAGTGAGTTCTTTGAGCATCCTGATCGCCTGTGTCTTGAACTCTGCATCTGATGGGTTGGTTGTCTCTGTTTTGTTTAGTTCTTTTCCTGGAGTTTTGTTCTGTTCTTTCATCTGGGCGGTATTTCTTTGTCTCCCCAATTCAGCAGTCTCCCACTGTTTGTTTTTGCGTATGAGGTAGAGCTGCTCTGACTCCCTGTCTCAGAAAAGGCACCTGTAAATTATGTAGGGCAGAGCCTTAGGTAACCACCAGGGCGGGGCAACCTGCTGCACTGCTGCGTAGGACTCAGAGAGGGGACCATGCCATTGCCGGCTTCTGGAGGTTTGCCCGGCACTCGCCCTGTTCCAGTCACTTCACCCACTTCTGTACGTGACTGGCATCTTTCCAGCTGTTGCCCTGGTGAATTCCATAGTGGGTGGGTTTGCTATGTTCTAAGTCTGTGTGGGCCCTTTAAATGGACTCTCCTGAAAATCCGGCAGTTTCTGGCACCGCCCCAACCCCCATTGGTTTCTACAGCCAGAAGTTATGGGGGATCTGTCTTCCTGGCGCTGGAACCCTGGGCTGTGTGGTCTGGTCTGGGGCTTGGATTGCTTGCTCCCAAGATATCCCTCCTGAGATTTATTCATAGTGCATGAGTGTGGGGCTGCCCACACTGCCACTCCCTCTCTGTGCCACACCGTGTCTCCACTCCTGTCCCTGCAACTCTGCCCCTCACACCCGTATGGGTGAATGTGGCTTCTTCAAATCCTTGGTTGTCAGACTTCCACACAGGTCGATTTTCTGACAGTTCTGGTTGTTATTTCTTTGGAGATATAGTTGTTGATTCTCTCCATGGTTGCGCAAGGAGGCAAAGCAGGTCTACCCACGCCTCAACGGAGGCACCTCCACATTTTCATGAGTGCTATTCCCTCTTCCTAAAATGTCTGTTCCCGTCTGCTTGGTGCTTTCTCATTCATCCTCTTACTGTCTCACCCCAAGGGCCACTTGCTCTAGAGAAGAACCACACTGACCCCAGAGAGGCAACCCCTGCTTCTGTTCTTCTGTGAACGGCCATTCAGACTACAGTGAAATTCTTTGTGTGTGTCTCTCCTTCTACGACTAACGTCAGTTTCTCGAGTGCAATGACTGCACCTTGTCCTTGTATTTTCTTGAGTGTGTTTATACCAATTTTTGATTTTTATTTTTCTCCATATTCCTCCAAAAATGAGGACAGAAAAATAAAGCGAACTAGTAAAGTCGTTTATGTCTGGAATAGCACATTAGACTTCATCACACACTTCCGTTGCTGCCAGTACAGTGAACACTCCCCACGAGGACAACAAAAGGAAACGAAATGAACGGCAGCTGCAGGAATGTCACCAAGGTGCCGACCCAAGACGGGCACCCCCGCCAACACCCGCCGTGACCTCTTACCCGTGTACTCTGGGTAGCAGATAGTTAATGGGCTCCTCTTAATTTTTTCCTCAAAAAGATCTTTCTTGTTGAGGAAGAGGATGATTGAAGTGTCTGTAAACCATTTGTTGTTACAAATGCTGTCAAACAGTTTCATGCTTTCATGCATTCGGTTCTAAAAAAGAAATAAAGGATGACAGGTCAGCAACAAAAAGTGAGGGCAGATTAGCTGTTCCCGACCAAACGGACGGCACTGGGGGATGGGGCCAGTCCTCCTGCTCTAGCTCGTGGGGGGCCAGGGGTGGGAAGGGAGACCGGCTGACGAGAGGACTGGGCTCTGCCCACGCGCTCCATGTGCTGCCATGCCTTTCGAGAGCTAACAGGGCATGAATGGGTATTCTCAGACTCTAAACTCACGACCAGGAAAACAATCAAGGATATTAAGAGATATCCATGCACTCTTTGGATTCAAAGAGTGCATGGATGCGCAAAGTTTTCCTGCGAGTTCTTCCCCATGTCCTGGGCGCACCAGACAGGCTTTTTACCCGCAGCTCCAACATACCATCTCCTCATCCTCAGCCAGAACGAGGTCATAATCGCTGAGGGCCACACAGAAGATAATTGCTGTCACTCCCTCAAAACAGTGGATCCACTTTTTTCGTTCTGACCTTTGGCCACCGACATCAAACATCCTGAGTAAGGGGGGGAGAAAGCACAAATTCAGCAAGATCACACACATGCCTCTCTCTCTAACTTGAAATGGTTAGGGAATTCCCCACTATTGCATATTCCAAACCCCATTTGTAACAGAAAGACAAACAAAGAAGCAGATAAAAGGAAATCAAAATAATTATTTGTGGTTAAAACAGAACATGAGAAAATAAAACTTTAGAATAATCAAAATCCTCATTTTAGAGAAATAGTTTAGCCTCCTCTCTAATCAAAGTTTGTATCAGATACCAAGCCAGCAAAATAAGCACTGGAATGGGTTAAAAGAAGGAAAGGAAAAAAGACAGGAAAAATGAGGAGCTGAATAACACAACTGAAGCTAGTAACAGTAGCTGACATTTACTGCGTGTTTACCACGAAGTCAGGCACCACCCTCAACATCTTACGTTGACTTCACCCTCCAAACACTCAGGGAAGCATCCCTGGGCTACAGATGGAGAAGTGCAGGCACTGCCACGTTAAACAACGTGCCCAAGGGTACGGCACCAACAGACAGGGGCTGGGGGTCTGAACCGGCACGGACTCCGACACCCACGCTCCTGTCTGCCACGCCGCAGCCCCTTTCCAGTGGTTCACCTCTTCAGTTACAACAGAGCATGACAAACTGTAAATCCCCCACTTGCATTCTCTTCCATAACTTCTCCCTACTGAGTCCCACCTTATTTTTCTTACTTGTTAAAATTTTTTTTTAAAAAATTGAGGTATAATTGAGATATGTCTTCCTTAAAGAAGAAAACAGCCCTGGCTGGTGTAGCTCAGTGGATTGAGCACGGGCTGTGAACCAAAGGGTCGCTGGTTCGATTCCCAGTCAGGACACATGCCTGGGTTGCAGGCCAGTGGGGGCCATGTGAGAGGCAACCACACATTGATGTTTCTCTCCCTCTCTTTCTCCTTCCCTTCCCCTCTTTCTAAAAATAAATAAATAAAGTATATTTTTAAAAATGGGAAAAAATACAGAAGAAAGTATTTTTGAGATTAGTTATGGAAAAAAGCAAATTGTACTTTATAGTAGGACTCTTAAGAACCCAACATCTAAAAGTAAAACTTAACCAATGTTTCTCAACCCCTACTTAACAATAACAAAGCCTGAAGCGTTCGCACACTGTATGTTCCGTCCCGATCAGTGTTAGTCCACTGCTCCCTTCTGGGTGCTTACTTGATATCCTGAGTCACCTATGAAGTTCTCTCAACAATCTCCTCCTCTACCTCCTATAACACAAGAAGCACCCACACAGCTTTATTTACTGATATATGCATGTTTTCTTTTTTGAGAGAGAAAAGAAAGGAGAGCCAGAGAAACATCAATTTGCTGTTCCACTTATTTATGCATTCAGTGGTTGACTCTCATATGTGCCCTGACCAGGGATCGAACCCGCAACCTTGGTATATAGGGATAATGCTCCAACCGACTGAGCTACCGACCAGGGTGTACCTGCACAGCTCTGTCTCAGCTGGTACAAGGATATGAGAAGGTATGCATTCAAATGGTCAGACATTCCTAAGGTGTATGTTTGATAACAGTGACAAAATGTTTAAAGGTTAAACACTTTGGCAAGGTTAAAACCTTGCCAAGCAGGTTCACTGTATCAGATCTACTGTGACTGAGGGTCTATTTTCAGAGACTCTGCCCCCCGGCAGAGACCAAGAGAAGTTAAGAAGTAGTTGAATATTTTTTGAATGTGTGTTTGAAGAGAAAAGTCATCTTATCATTCTTTCTTTTTTCAGCCACGTGTTTATTTATTTACTAAATTGTTTATGCTATTACAGTTGTCCCTGAGTCATCTTATCTCTTCATGACCCAACTTTTTCTTCTGATTGATCTTGTGCTGTTTTTCAACCTTTGGTCGCGACACCTATAATGACGCAATCACAAGTTGGCCCTAACACAGGGTCGCACTACAGGTTTTAGGAAAGCTAGCATCATATACTTCACCATGGACGTCTTTCAAGAGGAGACACAGTGTGGTACACCAATAATCTCAGTTTTCCTCTGAAAAGTTCATAAAACTGGTCAAACAGTATGAAGTTCCCTAGGTGGGCTTCTAGCACATATTAACATTTACAATATCATTAACTAACAGATTAACTTTTTTTTAAAGATTTTATTTATTTTTAGAGAGGTAAGGGAGAGAGAAAGAGAGAGAGAGAGAAACATCAATGTGCAGTTGCTGGGAGTCATGGCCTGCAACCCAGGCATGTACCCTGACTGGGAATCGAACCTGCGACACTTTGGTTCGCAGCCCACGCTCAATCCACTGAGCTACGCCAGCCAGGGCAGATTAACATTTTATAAACACACCACACAACTGAGAGGCAAGTCAGCAATTACGCAATGCCTTGCACAGAGTGGGTGCTCAGTACATGTCTGAATAACTGGGCACTGGTCCTGCCCAGAGAGGAGGACAAGGAGGAAATGACAGCACTTCGTAATGCAGCACCGTCATGCCAGTGATAAAGTGGGGGCAGCACCTTCATTCTACCTGGCTGTGAGTCCTGCCCTCAGACGACCAGCAGGACTCACCTAATGAGAGATTGATCTATGACAACGTCGACAAGAACGTTTCCCATGCTAAATAAAGGTGGCAACATGTGATTACACATGGATTACTAATCTTAATAATACACAAAGGGACAACACATTCTTATGGTTTTGTGGGCGATAATCCAAGCGGCCCCTGCCACTCTTGGTAAATAAACCCACCAGAACTCCAGAGAAGCAGCTCTTCTGGTCCACAAATACTCGGCTGAACTGCTGTTTCCTGCACCAGGTTTCGATCTGGTTAGGTGTATGAAGATTTCAAGACCTCAGCTGGCATCCAGTAATACCTAAACTCTGTGTGAATCTCACAAATTCTCTGAATCAATTTTTTTTCAGAGAAAAGAAAACTGAGAGCTGAGCTAAAAGTTACATGTGTGCAACAATGCTCACACCACGTTCTGGATACAAGCATAAGGAGGTAGCTAAAAAGAACATCACATGTTGAAGGGGAAAAGTCTGCTTCTAATCTCAAAGGTCCCAAAGGCAGAAAACAGGAACCAAAGATAGCTTTACCATATACAAAAGACTATTATCACAGAGACAAGCTGGAGTCTATTTTAGAATTACTAACGCTGATGAGAAAACCTTTGCTACTAAAACACTAGCATTTCCTCTAAAACCACCTGTTTGTATCATACCGCCTCTACCCCCCGGTCCATCTTTCCCTTCTGCACTGTACTGAGAACTCAGTTTCGCAGGGTGCTGAGCACAGATCCGTCCAAGAGTCAGGGCTGCATGAGCTCCACTCCATGAAAATTAAAGGGGTATGCACTCGGTAAGAAGGGACGGACAGCGGTGAGAAAAGCAGTGCTATTTTAATGCCAAACGGCAGGCCAAAGCCACTTAACTGGCTTTCTGTCCTTCTAGTACTGTTGTTACCCTTCTAAACAACACTCAATACCTGTTTCTGTGGTTGCAACAAAAAAAGCAGCTAAAAAAAAACAAACAAACTAAAAATGAAGTACACTGGTAACCACAGGATTACTTTTACTGACACCTGAGGTACAATTAATTTTGAGTTCAGCTCCTCCGAATGGACAGAAGTATCGACGCTATTTGGGGGAAAAAGAAGGGCTTGGGCCCCCCGGTTAAAGCATTCAAATACTGACTGATGAATAGAGTGAGTTTCTGAACCAAGAAGTCCTGCCCAGAGAAATTTTACCCCGATTAAGAGACACGAACTAACGAGGAGGAATCTGTGTTTGGCACATCCAGTCGGAAGGCTAGCGACTCACTTGAAGTACAGGTCTTTGAAGGTGAAGTGCGTTTCCACGATGCCCGTGGTCTTCACTCTTGTCCGCAGGACATCTTGTTGGGTCGGAATGTAGTTGGTTTGGGATATTCTGTCCAAGTCATTGAGGTAACTAAACAAAACACACAGCAAGTCAACGGGCTAAGCGAGCTCCTTGCCAAAGGCAGACCCTAAACTGAAGTGGCAGGACAGAACGAGGTCTTCGGCACCACAGAGAAAGCAGGAGCACGCGGACCTGGAACAGGACAGTTCAAGTAGGTTCTGTGTACACTCCACAGAAGTGGTTTTAATTCTACCACAATTAAACTGTGAAGGTCAATTAAAAATATGGAAATGTAAGTTAAAAAAAAAAGTTAAAAATATGGAAATACATTATTCTTCTTAAAATTCCTGAAATTTAATACCAATTCAATTGTGCACTGTACAGTACAAAAAGCCAAGCACCAGACCCCTGACATGTGAAGTGAATGGGTCATCTGTATGTTTAAACACGTGGCAGGACGTTAGAGAACGGTGTCCGAGTTACTGATACTAAAAAGAGAAATAGGCTCAACGAGTGTTTCTGGAAGGGATGAGCCAAAAAAACAGATACACGTACATCGCCCCCGGCCCCCGACAGCAGCGTGGTGATGGCCAGAAGGGGGAGAGCACCCAGGAGGAGGGAGGAAGGGAGACAGCTGCAATAGTGTCAATAATAAAAGAAAAAAAAATTTAGTATCTCCTGTTTTAATTTATGAAACTAAAAGTTGTGGTTTTTTAAAAATTTAAGCCAAAAACCACCTGTAAATACCTTCAAAGCAATTTAGTTTGTCAGTGAAATAATGAACAGACTGACTCAAAGCTAAACTAAATCTTCACGACTTCGGGGTTTCTAAAGATTCTTCGGCCTGACCAGTGAAGAACTGGTGGCACCACTGCAAGTGAATCATTAATGAGGGATCGGCCAGGTTTAGATCCACAACTAGGGAAAATAACTTTATAATCACAGTCTTCAGGTGTAGTGGGAATATTCAGAGCTCACTAAATACATGATAAAAAAAAACAATTACAATGTAGCTCTGATGATTACTGGGAGAATTATTTAAGCTACCAATTACATGCAATTAAAAAAATTATTGTAAGATGGGCAAGAATCCTGAATTGCTTCTAAAGTCAAATTTTCTCTTAAAGAATAAGTAAGTTTTTCAAATATCACTTAATTTCTTCTTATAACAATTTAAGCTAGAATGATGGGACAAGTAGGAAAATATAATACTGGAGAAAATACCTTATGTTTGGAAGTGTCTTCATCTAGGAAAGAAATGAACACAGCTAACAAGAGCTCACCAAGCCCCCAAAATGCATGTTAAAAAACCCCCCGACATTCTGAATATAGGTCTTATAAACAAACATGTTGTAAAAGCAGCAAACTAGGATGGCATGATATAGCTTAACAGAAGTATTAATTACAAGTTTTCTAAAACTACATAACACTTAAGAGAATTTCCTTGACAAACAGATGCTTCAAGTTCGTCCTGAGACTCAATATTCTCTTTCTACATGAAGTCTGCTGCCGTGATCTGGCCAAAGATTTCCCAGAGAGATGCACAGTGCAACCCAGCCACAGAGAGCTGGGTGGAAAAAGGCATGCTTCAACTCTGAATTCCCTCCTTGGCTGGCAGTCGGTGCAAAGGCCCGATGCAGAGGAACTTACAAGCTGGAAGGGAACCAGGCCCCCCACGTCAAGAGATGTCTGGCCAGTTTCACTTGCTGATTTAAACCACCACACAGTTACTTCCACTGGGCCGAGACTCCCATTTACATCCTAAGAGGAAATGGTTTTCTCCAAGTCACAGAAAATGACCAAGGGCTCTATGACTAAACTGAACAAGCTTTGAGGAGTCAACAGACTTCGAAGAGCATCTGTCACTTGAGCGCTTCCTTAAGGATGCGCAATGAACTTTCTCTAGAGTCACCAGATTAGTCTTCTATGGTTTCGTAGAGAGAAATTACTTACTATGAGGCAGAATCATTGAGCTGATATTCCCTGGATCTGCAGAAGCAAGCCTGCACCCCGCCGTCTCGCCACAGCCGTTTAATCACACCTGCGAGTTCGGGGGTCATGACCCCCTCTTCGGCACTGCCAGCTAAGACAAACAGCTGTCGGGCATCATCCTTAAGAGAGAGAGACAGACAGAGGATTCTCTGTTTCTTAAAGACTCGACAAGAGTCTCTTTAACACACATGCACCCACACGCACAGCACTGTATGTTACAGTATGTTAACCAAGGCATTAGAGAGACCGTGGCTGGCAGGGCAGTCTGAGGGAATGCACATGAAGTCTCAACCCACGCCCGCCGCCGTCGGAAGTGCAGAGCTGAGCCGAGGAAGGGTTTCACCCCCAGCCCTTCTCCACACACCACCGTCTCCTGCCAAGATCTCTCTGACTGGCCTACACATCTCCATCCTGGCTACTCATAAATTTTGATGGAAAAAACTGGCCTGGGAGACAGACACAAGTAACTCATTTGCATTCTGCTCAAGGAAGCCTCCAATAAAAACAGAATGAAAAGACTAGCACGTAAGAGGCAAAGTCTACCCATGTCAAAGGCAGTGAGACAAGCTTAAGGAAAAAGTGTTCTCTTCTTTCTCCTTCAGGTCAGACAAGGGAATAGGAAGAAGTAAAGACTAAGGCATTTTAGAAGTGTAGGAGTCGGGGGGGGTGGAATAAATCCCTCAGGGAAAGCTCAGTCTCTAGACTTTCCCTGGAGAAATAATAGCCCTCTAAATAAGATGGGGGGTGGGGTGGGGGTGGGTAAAGGCAGCATGAGGAAAAGAAAGTCCCAAGGAGAGTTTGACTGGGACGTCGAGAACCACAGACCTGGCTCCGTAAGTGCTTGCAGACCCGGCACACGGGACGGGGAGAAAGGGCCGCAAGGGGCCATGAGAACTGGGCCTGTGCTGCTTTACTCCTCTCAGCCCTAAATGTCAGCTGGTAGAAAAAGGAACACCAGTCTCAGGGGATGACTCCCCACTCAAACCTAACACTGCTCCGCCTCAGGAGATTTCCAAATGACTATGCAAATGCAGATACTAAAAAAAAAGAGCATATTCGGGATAAAGAAACAGTAAAGGGTGAAGACACCCCTCAGTTGTGTCACACACGAGCAGTCCGCAAGACAAAGCAGCAGCAGAAAGCGTTTCAGAGGCAGGTGCAATCCCAACCACAAAACCCTAAGACCGTGCATCTACATAAGCCAAGCCAAGCAGAACAGAACCAACCTGAGCGCGCTCCAAGTGCTTCTGCCAAACTCGGGGTCTTCGGCCTCAAGGGTGTTTGCCAAGTAACCTTCCTCCCGCCCTTGCCTGCACCCTTGGCTGCACTTTTTTAGGCCTAACCCTGTCTAAGGAACTTTCCCTAACACCTGCATTCCCTTCCTCTCTTTCCAAAGACAAAAATTTAATATAAAGGAATGAATGACTGAGAAAAGCTGAAAAATGACATAAACTGGCAAACACTCAACAGCGAGCAAGCCCTTCTATGAACATGGTATACCGCGTTATTTACCATTTGAAGACTTTCTGAAATCTGACCTATACTCATGCAAATATTCAAAAACCTCAATAAGCATCACTTTTTAATATAATTCTGATTCCAATTTTAGAAACTTTAAAATAGAGAGCGTGCTACTGCTACCGAATTTTGTTGTCTTGACTATACTCTGTAGACTCTGTTTTAGGAGGAAGCACTTTCCCCTTACCACTTTAGCTCTTCCACCGGCCAACCCTGCTTCCCCACGGCACTCCTCAGGGGTCTGTAAAGAGGCCCCGCTGTGCAGTGAACTCCACACAGGCCTCACCCTCAGCAGACACGAGTGAGCAGCCTGTCCCACCCCAGCTCTACTCCCTCCCACTCACCCTCTGACCAACCACAAACAGCTAGAGAAGGATAAGAGAGGAGACATAAATTCTCACGTATAAAAAAGAGAAATTTCAGGAAACGATGTATAGACTCACAGATTAGTATGGGTAGATGCTGGAAAACTAGATGATTCAGGACACCTGAGAGGAGTTAATAATGTCAACTGTATCTGGTGACACAGAAGTGTTAGGACCCAAAGATGACAAATTTGATAAACTAAAGAAATGAAAGGAGAAGGGGTCATATGGTCTATATGTTCAGCTCCCCACCCCACCCCACCCCAAATTCTTATGTTGGAATCCTAGTTACCCAATGGGATGGTGTTAGGAGGTGGGGCCTTGGGGGCGGTGCTTAGGGCATGAAGGTGGAGCCCCCTGGATGAGATTCCTGCCTTTGTAACAGAGATCCCGGAGAGATGCCTTCCCCTTCTACCCCGTGAACACAGCCCAGATGTCTGCAACCCAGGAGAGGGCCCTCATCCAACCATGCTGGCGCCCTGACCTTGGACCGCCAGCCTCCGGAGTGTGAGAAGTTCCTGTTGAAAATACGCTATGGAGTCTGCAGTGCTATGTTACTGCAGCACAGACTAAGACAGAAACTGTCACCTGCATCCGGTGAGAAGGGACTGCCAGGACCCAGAGATTAGTAAAAACCGCATTGATAATGGAAAGAATGAAAGGAGGGATGATCGAGAGATATGAAGAACAAGGGGTGAAAATAAAAAAGAAACTAAAAGAAGTAACTGAGATGGAGAAAAATCCAATGAAGAGAATAAATACAGTTATTACTGACCAATTAGCAGGCTCAGCAAATACAGGGTGGGACAAAAGTTTACAGTTGTTCTCATGGAAAGCAATACATAATTAACAAATAACAATACAAGAATAAACTGTTTCATGTACTTACAACTATAAACCTACGTTTGCCCCATCCTGTACAACAGAGAGGTTAGGTGATGGGAAGAGATGAGAAAGGGGAGAGAGAAAATAAACACGGGAAAGAGCTAGTAGGCAGAGAAGAAAAGGGAAAGCAGAAGGCGAGAGAAGAAATAGAAAGAAGGCAAAAATAAACTTCAGCTTTCACATTTTCCCTGCTCGGAGGCTCAGATAAATAAAGTCTCTGATTTCTGTGACGCGATACCTTTCCACAAACACGCAGGAGCTGTGCCACACCCACCCCTTCCCTCCCCCTTTGCCACCTTCGCCCATCACTTCACAGCCCTCCCTCGAGCTCCTCTCTTCCCTCAGCCACTTCTAAGGCATCTGCATCCAGGACTGCCCAGTTCCACCCACCCTTGCATTATCTTTCCCTTCAACAATCCCCCTACTTGTTATCGATGCTAATTTGCGTTCAATGAGTTGGGAGCCACTGAGAAGAGTCCCTAAGCTCCTTCACAGACACAGACACAGGCTCTGCCTTCTCAGGTAGCCTCCCAAGTCACTTCCTTTTGTTGTCATAGCAACCAGGTATGACACTCTGAACACGGCTGATGACTCTGCTAGTTCTAGAACATCCTACTATACATTCTCAGCCTTCTCTTGGAATTCAGCTGACGATGACATATAAGATCCACTGTCCTCATTGGCCCTCTCCCCACTGTGTCCAACATCCTGGCTTACCAACTAGACCTTCAGACAGCTAAGTACATTATAACTAATCCACAGGACTTCGGACTGCCTGCCGTGCACAAAGATGATACGAGGAAAAAGGACTCATGCACACCGACAACACTGTGGTGACTGCCGGGGGGAGGAGGGTGGAGGGGGACTAAATGAAATAAAAAATTAAAAAAGAAAAAGAATGACACCAGGACATGGCAGAACCCAATTCTATAGGCCACAGTACAACGTGGTGCAGAGACCCAGGATTCCTGAGCACCTGAGAGTTGCCTCTAAAATTCAGACTTGGAGTTCATGTCCTTCCCAAGCATATTCTGGGAGACCGGTATTGGCCTTCAACGCCCACACCTCCGCCAGCAGAGCCACACACCACGGCAACCGCTTTCAGGCCACACCCACGTACTGCCCTGTGCCACGACAAGTGAAGGCAGCAGTGCTGCGGGGGGGGGGGGCGGGGGGCGCGCGAGGAAGGGACAGCGACCACAGAGACCTCCGCGTATCCACAGACCCCACTTCCTCGACTCTTCTGGCCAGCGCTTCTCAGATGAGCACAGAGCACTCTGCTACACTTCACCCTGTTGCTTAAATTCATTTCCCTAAAACAGGAAGCAAATTTTGCTTAACTGCATGTACTAAAGAGAGCAAGCGAAGAGGAAATGAGAAACACTCACTGCTCTGGAAGCTTCCCCAAAGTCAATCTTCAGCCGCCCCATGGCTCTTATGATGGCAATGATGGACTGTATGGTGTTGCTGTAGACAACGACTTTATACTGTTTACATTCCTCCTCCGAGTAGCCGTCCTCGTGAATGATTCTTTGAAGAGAAGAAAACCACAGACCGTTACCGTGGACCTGAAATGAAGAGAGACTACGGACTTGCACGCAGAATGAGGAAATGCAGCCTTACAAAAGGCCATGTTTCAACTTACTTCATCTGTTTCACAATGGTGCTTTTGCCAGATTCCCCAGCACCTGAAAAGAGAAGAAAAGCAGACTTTGAATCCGTCTGCAATCAAACAGAAAAGCTTGACATCAACGTGAGTGATAATTCCAGATTAATGGAGACCACAGGTCCTGGGAAAACTCTGGCGAGGCGTTCTGCCTATCGGCAACCAAGCACGCTTCCCTGGCAGTGTGCCGGGCCTCTACACGCCGCGTGGATCACGCAGGCATTCTCCAGGTGAGCACCCACCGTACTCACGTCTAGGCACGCATCCTCCACATGAAACAGGACACGCACACTGAACACAGGCAAAAATGAAGGGATTTATTTTTGGCCCATTCGCTTTAATTTCTCTGTCATCGCTCACAGGCCTGAGAACGTTCCCAGAACAATGCTCTCAGCCATGGGACTCGAGAGCTCACCGCTGGAGCAGAGGAGGCAGTGTCCCCGGCACTCGTGCACGCTCCACGCCCCCACCCCACCCCACCCCACCCCACCGGCCCCTCCGCGGCAGCCAGACCACGTAAGGACCACTCCTCGACGGTTCACCTGCATCACCGCAGCCAGTTCCTTCTCCCACCTTCCCAGGTGCCCGTTTCACACCTCCACCCCTCTCAAACGTAACAGGCCCTTCCCCACTTCCGACTATCAGCTGATGGCCCTGCTCTCTGTTATTGGAAAAATTACAGCACTTAAAAAAAAACTCTCCATTTTCCCATAACCAAGCCCACCATTCATTCCATCTGTACCTCCGAGAATATTCTCTGCCTTCATCAATGGATGAAGCGTCTCTGCCAACATCTAAGACTGATGTCTTCAACCATGCCCTCGCCCATCCACCTGGTTTGACCTACGCAAGGTCTCGGCAGCTACACTCACCCTCCGTCACGCAGACAGCATCGCGTTTTCTCTTCCTGCTGGTCACTCTCATCAGTGTACACACTCACTGTGCTGTCTTCCATCTCACAGTCAGCTCACGCACACCCCACTCCCGCCTTCCCTGACTCCGCGCTCCTTCCCCCAGCTACCACCCCACCGTCTCTTCCTCTCTACGGCAAACCCCGAGTCCTCATACTCATGCCCCCCAATTCTGTGCCTCCGACTCTCTACGCAACCCGCTCCAGGCAGGTGTTCACACCCAGCCACTCAGCTGAAACCCCCTTCCAAAGGTCTCCGACAGTTTCCATCTTCACAAAGCCAACGGCCAAGCCTCAGCCCTCCTCTTACTCAATCTCTTACAGAGTCTGTCCGAGGTGATGACTTCTCCCCCTGAAACGCCTCCTTCACTGGAGGCTCGTAGAGCCACGTTCTCCTGGGTGGACTCCTACCCCCTATTTCTCGGTCTCCCCCCTCCTGGCTCTGAATTCTAAAGGTTGTATGACTTCCTCAGCCCTTTTCCCAATCTCCATTCATTCTCTGGGTCATCCCATCTAGTCTCCTGGTTTTAAACACCATTCATAATCTGATAATGCTAGCTAACACCTAGTGACTACCGAATGCCAGACCCTGTTATAAACACTTTGTCTGCATTAATCCAATTAATCCTCAACACTGGCCCTGTGTGGTAGATATTATCATCCCCAGTTTGCAGATGAGGCAAAGAGGGCAGAGGATGTTGAGTTAACTTGCCCACAATACGGTCGGTAAGTGGCAGAGCCACAGACCTGCCTTCACACAGTCCGGCGCTGAAGCTGTTGCACACTGCCCCTGCGCTGACGACTTCCAAATGCAGACCTCTGATGCCGGCCCCTACCCTGGGCTCCACACTCAGACAGCTAAAGCATGGGGCGGACACAGGCCTACCTCCTTAGACTTCTGCTGGACATCTCAAACTTAAAACACCCACCACTGAGTGACCGCTCCCCCTCCTGCTCCACCTTGCCTCGGGGTCCCAGTAACTAACCAACAGATGAAATGTGCATGCCAGTACCAATGTGTATGTTAAATATCAGCACCGTTCACTTTTTTAAATAAATAAATATTTATTTATTTTAAATAAATAAATATATGGTTCTAACATTTCTTCTCACACCACATGGGTCAGCATAAGCACAATGGAAACCACAGGTTCCCGCTGCAAAACCTTCCTAAATGCGCCAGTGCTGCAAGTCGGTAAAACGTAAATCAGATCCTGTCGCTGCTCCGCCCCCAATTCTCCCCAGTTCTCCCGCGGCCTCCGACCACACCGCGCTCCGCAGCCTGCCCACCTCTTCCCCCTGGACTCCCTCCCCGTTTGCTCTCTCGGCCCGTCAGACCAGCTCTCCTGCTCTTCCTCCGACGCACCAGACTGGTTCTCGGTGAGCCTGAGCCTGACTCACGGTCTCTGCTGCGCTATTCCCTCTGCCTGGAGCGAGGTTTTACAGAATGTTCTTTTTCCTCCAGAACAGCCCTCCCTGACCAATCTACCTAAAACCCCACCCCGTCACCCTCTCTCCCCTCACTGTTATATTTTTCTCCAGGCACTTGTCACTTCTTCGTATTACAGATTTGTTCATTTCCCGTCTCCTCCACTAAAATATAAGCTCCACGAAGGTCTATACAGCCCTGTACTCCCAGGGCCTAAAACTGGGCCTCACATAAATCGGCCTGCAAATAAACATGGATGAACAGATAAACGACTAATGCTTAGTATGCATGATCCTTTACTAAATATTTCTCAATTCTATCAACCAAAAATGTTAAAATAAAGATCAAATAACTTAGAAATTCTAGACATCTATAGACATCTACATTTTTACAGATTCAAAAGGGACACTTCCCTATGACTTTATCTCTGTTCTCAGCACCTAACCAAGAACCAGGACTCGCACTAAAACAGCGCACAGAGAACTTGCTGATGACACTGTTGGAAAGAAGAGATTTCCCCCATGCAGATCTAAAAACAAAACCAACCAACCAACCAAACCCCCTAATGATGCAACTTCGACTCTAGGGAAGAAAATACCAAAGTATACCACTTGTATTTTAAATAGTTTAAAATGGAATTACTAAATTATTCCATGTTAGCAATGGCAACTAAATTAACTAGGAAAAGTAGAGATTAATGTAGTAATCTGCACCATTCATTATTAAAAACAGCCTTTCTACCAATTATGTTGGATTATTTTGAATGAAATAATCAATAGCTCAATCTCAGAGTCCATTTCCATCCACCTCATTAAGTTCTACCCTATGAAGACGCTGATTAAAAAACACATATGCAAATACGTCGCTCTACTCTGTCTTCCCAAAGCTCCCTGATCAAATGTCAGTCTGTCCTTCCCCTTCATTATGGCACTGTATGTTTACATACGCTTTTTCACCCAAGCTTTTATTGGATACCCAGTCCCATCTCTCAGAGAAGGCGCCCCTTCCTGACCGCAGCACTGAGCAGGGTCTGTGTCGGTGGTGCGCCCGGCATTTTACACGAACAAAGACGGAATCATTTTGTACCAACAGCGCTGGACCCACTCGGCTCCCAGGCCACCGTGAAAAGCGCCACCTCCCTCCCCTTTCTTGCGAGCACGAAATCTAAGAGCCACCTGGAGCCCTCTGGCTCTTCTCCCCTTACGTGACGCTGTAACACAATCTTCCCCCCCTTGCGCATTTCTCAAATTAATCCTTTCTGCTGCTCACACATCTGACCCCGACACCGCACCTACCGCATGCCGCCGCTGCTGCACCTCTCCCCACCTTCTCCGCAGAGCCCCTCCCTCCTCGTCACTTCCAAATCCTGAACATTTCCGACACCCCGTCCTCATCAGGTCTGAACACTTCATTTTTACCCCAGTCCTCGGTGCGCTGCAGCTCCTGGAGTAAGTCCCTCCACTAGCACCTCACTCTCGGGTTCCCCACGGCTCCCCACGCCTCACCTCTCTCCCTCCTTGTGTGTGTGGCACCTGGAACGTCTCATTTTACCTATGTTGTTTACCTGCATCCCTCAGAATTCACCGCAAGTGTCAGGGGAGACTCATCGGCCCCTCGTCGGTCTACCAGGGCAGCGGCCATATGGACACAGAGAGTGGGACCGACACACGGACAGAGACAGAACCTGGGGCTTGGAGAGCAGACTGAGGGCGGCTCGCAGACAGAGGTGGGCCTGGGAGGGGCAGGTGTGTGAGCGAGGGGAGTCCGACGGGTTCGAGAGAGACAGGAGGGCACGGGTCAGTTTGATTTAGAAGATTTATCCGCAAAACCACATACAGCTCAAGGTCGTCCGGCATCGACAGGGAGAGGGGATACGCGATAAAGCTGAAGAGATATTTGAGAGAAAAAGGGCAGAAGCAGCTAAGTTAGACAGTCTTGCTCCCAATTCAAGAAGCAAGGCAATCTTCAGAGAATAAAGGGGTGGAACTAATTTCGAAAACCATCTTAGAAACCATCGAACAGAACAAGAAGTATGTGTACGGTAGGCTGGCATGGTGACCGACACTGACACTTCTGAGCCTCCAGGGGTCCACCTGTAGACGGTGAGAACAGCGTGCGACACGCAGTAGGTATCCAACACCACTAACCAGCTACTATTAATGCTGTTTTCACCGTCCGAATACTGCCAGGCGATGTTAGGGCCCAGAGAATGTTATTTAGTAAAAGCTCCTTGATACAGGAGTATCCAGTTGACCCAAAATCCCAGGAGCAGCTGGTTCCCAACAATCAGACCGAGAAGGAATGTGGATTCACAGTCTTCGACAGCAGCTTACAACCTCAAAACTACAGCAAACTGCATCAGAGCATGAGTCATCTTCTCCGCCCCACCCTGAGGAACAAAAAAACTCTCTTCCTTAAATATACTTTCAGCTCCAGACACGCCCGCCTCCTGCCCCCTCTCCCCCACTTCTCTCCCATGTGCACGTCTCCGGCTTCTCCACAGCCTCGTGTGTCAGTGGAGAGTTACTCCAGTGGCACCTGAAGCATCTCCTTTTCCTTTTAGATACTTGTTCCTGTGGAGAAATCTTGAGGCTTCTAAAAGCCCGGGGTTGTGACTGGAGCATTTCCCCCTGGCTGGAGCTCTGCACAGTGAAGTCCTGACAGGGTACAGTTTGTGGGCGCC